AAGGACTTGTAGTGAAATCCTGGCCGTGCTGAAGTCAGTTGGAGTTGTGCCACAGGCTCCATCAGTGCTATGCTATTAGCAGGCTTTTAGCTCAGGCAGACGCTGCTCTTTTGATTGTGCTCTGCCAGATCCATTTGGTCATTCTTTTTCTATTCTTCCCCAAACTCACAGGGACTTTGGAACAGGCCTTTCTGTTTTCTAACACTCCCCTCCTTACCCCACACATGAGGAAGTCAGATCCCCACGAGCTGGGACTCTCAGAAGGTACTACTGCAGTGAATTTGTGTGTTCTCTGTCCCTGTTTGATTTCGTGCAGACATCCTGCCTTTTGGAGTGCCAGCTCTGTCTGGTGCCTGCCAGAGCTCATTGCAGTGGCAAATGCCAGTGTATGTGGCAAACTCACTTCTTAAAATACGCATTCCTCGCTGTTTCAGCTTTTTACTTCTCCCTGACTACCCAGGATCCGTTGATTTTTATTTTTTATTTTTTTATTTTTTTTATCTCTACCCTGAAAGGAGAGGGTTATACATGGACTGGAGACATCCCATTAAAAACAGTCCTTCCCTTTTGCCCGTATGGTCTTTGTCAGCCCTGGGATGCTGATGTTCTGTATTACTATAGATATATCCTATGGAAAGCTGTCAAGCACACAGGGATAGCAGGGATATGCTTATCTGAGTGCAGCATCCTTGGCTGGTGGAGGGGGCACTGGGCTGGTGCTGTGGTTTGTGGTGATCCCAGCCACATCTCAAGCTGAGAGACCACGATGGGATCAGTGCTATAGGGTCCTGAAGGATCAGCTTCCTGATGAGAATTCTCTCTGCTGTGTTTTGAGCCCATTTCTTTGTGGTATCATGGGGCTGTGCCCTATGGGAGAGCTTGGTTTGGCTGCACAGCCTTCTCAGAATAGCTGAAGACAGAGGCAGTTCTGGGGATCTGTAGTCAAGTCCATAGCCATGCGGGCTGCCTGCAGTGGTGGCCCATTGGGTTTTGAATATCACTGTGGATGGACACCAACAAGTAGGAAACCTGTCTCAGTCTTCTGTCACCCTAAGTGCAAAACATTGTTTTCCTGTGCATAAATAGAATGTCCTGTGTTGAAATTTGTGCCCGTTACCTCTTGTCCTGTCGCTGGTCACCACTGTGCTCCCTTCAGGCATCGGTGCACACCGAGGAAATCCTGTAGAGCTTTCTCCCAGCTGAGCCCCAGCTCGCTCAGCCTCTCCTCCATACACAGTGCTTTAAGCCCCAAATCACTGCAGTGACCCTTCACTCACAGGGAGCCCAGCACTGCACGCAGCCCACAGGGAGCTCTGATCAGCACTGAGCAGAGAGGAAGGCTCACATCCCTTATCCTGCAGAACCTTTACTGGTTATTTACTGCCTTACTGAACATAGAGGCTCCTCCAACCCCTCCCTCATGCTGAGACCAAGATTGAAGCCCAGCTGATCATGCCCTACCTGTCCTTCATTGTGGTTTGTTCCTCTGTGTTTCCCCGTTTTATCATCCTCTGCTCACTTTCTCGTTGTTCTGTTCTGGTTTTCTGTCACCCCTTGCTGTTTCCTCTCTCCCACCTTGCATCACCCTTGAGTCGTCTCCTTACCAAATTCTGTTGGTTGCATCTTTTGGCACCAGAGTCCTATCTAACAGCCAGCCTTGCCACTCTCCTGCTTCCATCTCATTCGTCCCGTTGTATTTACAACAAGCCTTTTTCTTCTCCTCTTCTAAAATGGTCACAACTACTTCTTCACCCCGTTTTCGTCCCACTGCGATCCTTTCCAAGGAGCTCGCTTGGGCTACTCCTTGGAGTTAGGTGACACCTTCCCTGCCACCATACCCACTACCTGGGACACCCTGTCATCATCATAGCTCTGCTCCCACACTGCCAATCCACCCCGATGTCAGTACGCCTGTTTTGGCTTTACCTGGAAAGAAGCATTGCTGCTCTCACTTAAATGACGTGAATGGAAATGCTGTCAGAAATGCTTATCTGGGGATGTGATGGTGCAGCTACGCAGCTCTGGCTGCTCCCTCTGCTGCCACAGGTAGCATGTCCTGGTGAGTGAGGTTTGTTTTCCTGAGATAAGAGCTGTGTCATCGCAGAGCGACGTCTGGATTGCTTCGGCGGGGTGCAGGTGTGTAGGATGCTGTGACATCAGTGAGACTAATTGCACCTGAATGGCTGCACATGCAAGACCCAAATATTTCAAGGGAGTGTTAACCCTGCTTGAAGCTTTTTCAGTGGGTGATTAGAGTAGCTGCATCTGGAAGGCTTAACTTGACCACAGCTTTCCTCAGTGAGGTGTGATGGACCTTCCACTGGCATGGGGATCAGCCCTCTGTGCTGAGTGGAAATAAACTGGATCACACACAGCGGTGTGACCGAGTTGCCAAGGAACTGACCAGCTTGATCCAAGTTTAACTTTTCCTCCACCTGTTCTGCTGCTTCTGAGCAGGACATTTTTTTCTCCACAGACATTAAAGAAGAGGACAAAGTGAGCACTGAGGACACCCTGCTGTGTCCTGACCAGTGTGCCTGGGGTATAGGACCATTACTGGTGCTGGTGGTGGTGGTGAACAGTGGGTTCAGACCTTGCCTGTAACACAGCATGGCTCTGTCAGGGGCTGTTCACAGAGCTGAGACGTGTGGAGGGCAGCATCCTCTGGGTACAGCTTTCAGGTAGAAGGCTTTCAGTGACCAAGAGGATGGTTGGCTCCAGTCTGACCGGAATGTATTCCCAGTGATTGCTTCAGTTATTTTCACAAAGAGAAGCAAGCTGTGCTTATAGGAGGCAGGGAAGCTCTGTTCTTGGGACTATATCAGCCCCCTGTCAGGGAGGTGTAACACTAGGAAAAAGGACAGCTGTATCAGGAGAGCTGTGGTGACGAGCAGCGTGCGGTGTGAACTCATCACAGAATGTAGGTCAGAAGGGGTCTCTGGAGGTCTCTCAGCCCTTCCTGCAACTTGTTCTGTTCCCCTCGTCCTTCCGCTGTGCACCTCCAAGAGCAGTCTGGTTCTGTTTGCTCTGCTGCACCCATTAGTGGGCTGTGGATCCTCTCTTAGCTTGTCCTCATTAGATTATGAACAAGCTCAGCTCCAGGGAGAACTGGTCTGCACTCTGCCATCTCCATCCCACTGGTATCTCCTACTCCATTCCCACATCTCTGAGTTTTCTGCCCTCTCTCTGCTTTATCTTCACCTTGCATAGCCCCATCTGAGTGACCTGACCCTTTTGCCCAGGCTGTGTTATATGAAGCTAAGTGGTATTTTAGTGTTATCCGTGCTCTCATCTTTCTCTGTCCTTTGAGTGATTGCACTCTTGACACTAAGAGTCTTTCACAAGTGCTCAGAATGAGCCCAAGCTGCTATGGGCCAGTAAATAATGGTCCTAATACCATCCATAGGATTGAAAAATTATACTGTGCTTTTCTGATGGGCACCTGATGCTTAGTATTTCTTGGAGGTGTGTACTGAGGGCTCAGTTCTGCCAGCCTGCCTTCTTTAGGGAAAGCGTTGTCTCCATAGGGGCAAACTGGGTGCTGAGCTCTGTGCTCTGATGCTCCCTTTTAATCCCTACGTGTAAGTAGGTATGCACATATACGCATCGTGCACTTGGTTGCAGCCTCTGTGTCTGCTGTCTCTATAAACAGGCGATAATCAGATAAGGATCGAAAGTATTCTTATTATGCAGAGGGTGGTTGTGCACTAATGAACTCCCCCCGTGAAGCCTCTGAGGTCTTCCAGGAGTTCCTTTGGTAGTGCACATTAGTGTTGCGATTCATTATGTACAAGGATGGCAGCCTGTAAGGGAAATGATTTGGAAAATGGAACAGTCTCGGGTCCTACACTATTTCTTACATAAAAGACCAGAAATACATCGTTTAAGGAATGCTAGAGGGTATGAGCAACACCATAATCATTCTCATCAATGTGCAGTGAAGGAATTTCTCCTTTCTTGGTTCCTTGAGGTGACATTAGGCAGATTCCCTCTGCCAGGAGAAAGGAACCTTTCAAACTCCATCATTTTAAAATGCCCCTGTCCCTTACAATCCACACAAGCCACCCCCTTCCCCTTTTCCTGGCTCAAGAGATAGCTTGTGGTTACACTGGGAAAATCAGTGCATTTCACTCTATGATTGTTCCACTGTGTCTGTGATATTCACAGGGAAAAAAATCTTTGAGTCTCCACCCATCCAAGGGGAAAATGTTGGATGCTGCTGAATTCTGTGACATTTCTTTTCTTGGGGAATAGCAGTGAGACCTTAGAACCATTAAAGGAGTCTCTAATGGACAAATAGCTAACAATGGGAAACATTAACCCATGAAAATGTTTTTAGTTCTTTTCTTATGGACTGCTTTTTCTGCTCTGAGAAACCCACTTCCATCAGTGCTATGTATTGAGGTACGAGCAGGAAAAGCTATTTATGGATTTATGGATTTATGGAGAGTGGGGACTGCAAGTATGGAGAGTGGGGACTGGACTTGTTGTGTGATTCAGTCTTAGACCAACAATAGCCAAGTAAACCATAGAATCACAGAATGGCCTGGATTGAAAAGGACCACAAACATCATCTGGTTCCAAGCCCCTGCTGTGTGCAGGTCGCCAACCAGCAGCCCAGGCTGCCCAGAACCACATCCAGCCTGGCCTTGAATGCCTGCAGGGATGGGGCATCCACAGCCTCCTTGGGCAACCTGTTCCAGTGCCTCACCACCCTCTGGGGGAAAACTTCCTCCTCATATCCAACCTAAACCTCCCCTGTCTCACTTTAAAACCATTCCCCCTGTAACTTCGTGCAGCAGACATTCACACACACAAAGAATCTGAGCTTTGAAGACAGATTTTGTTGTTGTTTTGTTGGTTTTTTTTTTTTTTCTGCTTATGGTAGGAATCCAAGCACTGCGGGTTTCATACAGCGGCTCTGCAGGCGGAGATGCTGAATGCCATTCCATCCGTTTTGTGAAAATATGTTTTTTTTCCCTCTCTCTCTCTCTCCTCAGGGCTCTGGCTGACATCTTAAGGCAGCAGGGACCAATCCCAATAGCACACTGTGAAAGAGAAACTATCTCGGCCATAGATACCTCCCCCAAAGAAAACACTCCAGTCCGGACATCTTCCAAAAACCATTACACCCCTGTGCGCACCTCCAAAAGCAATGCAGGTGAGTGCTGTGTTCTGCTTTCCCTTCCGAGCTGCTTGTGCCAATGCTTTGTTAGAAGTCAGCAGGACATCACACTTGGCTACAGCAGAGTTTGAAACCTAAAATTAGGATTATAAATGGTTTTCCAAGGCGATCAGATAGAGCGGAGCAGTGCAAGGGTTCTTGGTGATGATTCTTTAAGGTTTTTGCTGAGCAGAGTAGCTATTCTCTCTGGGCGTCTTAAAAATTCTGAATCAGCGAGGTATGAATTCAGCTCGTACCAGAATGCTTGTAATAAGCTCAGAACACTGTGTATTTCCAGCCAAACACACATGCTGTAAAGCATAATTGGCCTCTCCACACGCAGCAGCTGAAAAGGAAGGCATCCACACAGTGGGGCCCATCTCTTCCATTTGGGTGAACCACAGGCGTGTGCCAACAGCACAGTGTGGGAGGTGACCCTGGTGGTGTCCAGGACAGTGGCTCGAGGTTTTCCAGTAGCACTGGCCTGGGGGTTAAGACACACAGATGTTTTTCTGGGTTCTCCTGCTGGGTAAACTCAGGCAAACCACTCTGTTCATTGCCTTGATTTCCCCGGTGGAGCAGAATGCTTGCCTCTTAGGTAAAGAAAAGGCTCTGATTTGTTTAATGCTTTACGTATTGATAATTGTCAGAACAATGCCTCGGTGGTTGCTGACCGTCTTCGTTAAGTGGGATGTGGTAGGCTTCCCATCACTTCCCATCTCTCAGCTGCAACTGGATGTGTGCCTCAAAGATATGCCCTCATTCAGTCACAAGCTATTCGGCTTCCCACAGAAGTTTCTGGATGGCATCTCCTGGCCTGTGTCACCCAGAGATCAGAGGGCTTTTGCTGATGGTCCCTTCTGGGGGAGCAGGGCTGCTCTGCGACCTGCAGGACTTGGTGTGCTCCCCTCTGTGCAGGAGGGGCTGTGGCTGGGGGCACCGACTGCTCCCATGGCCTTGTTACAGTCACTGTTGGAAGGCTTGGGCTGCACTATGCATCACCCTACAGAGACACAACCAGGTGACTGTGTTCTCTGGAAGGCTCCTTTGCTACTGGGAACAAAATAATTTCCCTGAGAAGACCGAAGGATTTCTTTTCTTTCCAGTTTTTGCTTAGAGGCCAGTGAACTCTACAATTTTTTTTTTATGCCAGGGAATTATACATGTGAAATGAGATGTTGGACTGGAGAATGGTACTTGAGCTGAATTGTCTGCAATAGGAAGGTGCTTTTGCAAGTCTGCTGGCTCATGAGAGGCTGTGTGCTTCTGCCCCAGGGAGAAACACAAGAAGCGAGGATTTATGGCCAGGGAACAGGTACAGGCTCTCCTAGAGAGCAGCTCTGACACACTGCTTGCAAGGAGGCAAACACCTTGTTTCTTCCCATTGGCTCCAGTTGTGGAGCAGGCATTGGTCAGGGAAGGTGGAGATGCAGATGGAATTCCTTGCTTCCAGCTAGATACTGGAAGCCTGAATCATGTCACATTTGTGCACTGCCAAGGCTGATAAAAGGGAAATGGGAAGGTTTGAAAGGGGGAATGGCTTACTGCAGTACTGCAATGGTGTCTTCTCTGGTGTTGACGGCTTCAATGGATGCTCTTAGGGCTTAAGAGGCACCCAAAGATGCAAGGAACAGAGAATGGGTACATCAGTGGGATGCTGGCACAAATATTCACAAATCCAGGTAGGGAGGACAGGGACTTTGCTTCCAGCCCAGCCTGCCACAGCCACTGGCAGCTGGAGGGGCCATCGATCTCATCTGCCTGGGACAGCCACTTGGACTCACTGTCCCTTTGAGCCCTGGCCAAGCTGGGAAGGGAAATCTTGCTCTTGTAGTTTGCTCAAAAAGAACTTGTTCCTGGCTCAGCTTTGTCCGTTATTAACATGTTCTCATATATCAGAGGAGACAGAGAGCTAATCACTTACAAAAGATTGTGAGCTCATAAAACAGCTATACAGTTAATGCTTTTTTATACTGTTTCATTTGCAGAATAGGGCAATGCTCCATCACAACTGTGCTTGATTACTTAGATTATTGTGTGAATCAGAAAATTGTATGAGTGAATTCTGAAATCTTTAAGGTTGGGGGAGAAGGAAAAGTTGGAGAACAAGATCGGGTTAGATCATGCTAAACTAGAAGAGAGCTGTTAAGCTGCAACATGGCAGTAAAAGAGGGCTCACTATCCATCCTTGCTTTTTGAAAATAAGATTTATTTTTTTTTTAAGAGAGAATGAGAAAAAGCTGAGAGTGGAGAGTGAGACAATAGCACACAGTAGTAGGACCCAAGTAAAGCAGTGCTCACTGGTGCTATAAATCGGCTTAAGAAGACCACAACTGTAGTGGGGTCTGAAGCATCAGCTCTGCTGGCTTTACTTTGTCTCAGGTCTCCAGAGTAAGGGAGGTTAAGCGACCAGAAAGGGCCATAGTTCTTATACATAAGCTGAGACTGAGCTTTGTATTTGTTTTGCTTGGAACTGGTGTTTCCAAACCTACAACTGAAAGAGCATCCTTAAGTCCTGCTAAATAAACCGTGGCTTCATTTTGCCATCAGCCTTGTTTGGTGTCATTGAGCAGAATGGTGGTGGGTGACAGTGACAAATTGAGGTGGCCCGTGCCCAAGGCAACAGAGTCCAAGCAAAGCAGCGTGAGCAATGCTGTGAGGGCATGGCCATGGTGCACGATGTGCTGGCACTGCCTGTTCTTGGGGCAGTTTTGGAGCAGTGCCCACCTCCCACTGCCTCCATCCATCGCAGGTGCCCAAAGCGGGGCTTAAGACCAAGGCAGATATGGAGATGAGTCCTCACTCCTCACTTAGGTGGTTTTAGAGCAATCAGAGCTCTGCAGTGGGGCGGGAGGGCTGATGTTAGGTGTGTTCTGCACTGCTTTGCTGAAATTTGAGACAGAAGAACTCAGATCTAAGTGATGCTTTTTGGAAGGGAAAGAGAGTAAGTAGGGCTCTTTGTCCTGAACGTGGGAACTATTGCCATGGGGACCATTCTCTTCTGGTAAGAATGCTGGCTTTCGAGGCTTCAGCCTGCTGCCTTACAGCTGCCACTTTCCCCAGGTGTTAATCAGAAGAAAAATGCATTTCTTCTTGCTGGTCCCATGTGCCGGTAGGGCTTCCTGCCAAAAATTCTTGCCTCTGAGAATCCAGCTGAAGTCCTTTTAGGATAGCAAGGAGTGGTTCATCTCTTCTTCCCTCCACCTTTGCTGCTGCTGACATTTCTCTTCCTGGCTTTTACACGGCGCTGCTGTTTTAGTGGTGGGAGTGTTGTGCAGATAAGGGAAGCTGAAAGCTGTGCCTACAGATTGCTTGGGTCAGAGCACACTTCTCCAGCTGTGCACCGCCTAATTAGTATGAGCTACAGTGCTGTCTGTAGACAGGAACATTCCTGCAGCCCACACAGACCTCCTGTTAGTTCCCTGTTTGCTATTGTGAGTAACAGGTAAAGTACGATGAGGCTGAGATTACAGAAGATCTATCTATAGCTGTCTATTGGCATTTTTAGTGTCGCCATCACAGTTGCACCTTTAGGGCTGTTGGAAGGAAAGCTCTGATCATGTTTCCCCAATGCTCTCTCCTTGGCCTCATTACCTCTCTTGACATCTGCTGTGAAGGTTGGTGCCATTCCTTTGTTCAGCAGATGGCTGAAACGGGTGGCATTGCTTCTGCATTGTTCACAGTCCTCTGATGTGTCAGAGAAGGTGTGGGCAGCACTGTGACAGTGATGCTGATGGCCCATAGCATTTGTGGTTGCCGTAGCATTTCAGCTTAGACCATTATTTCCAGTGCCAGTGGGTACTGGAAAGCCTTCTGAAAGATGGATGCAAGGAATTGGTTGGCTTTCATCCCAAAATGCAGTTGAGCAAAGGAACTGCAGGAGATGTCAGATTGGAGATTTCTGACTGCTTTGGTGAGTGAGCAGCCAGCGTCGGACTGACCGCCGTGCAGGCAGGCATGGGCCCTTTCTTCTCTTGCTCTCATTCTGGTTCTTCTGTACCAGCACTTCTTCATACAATGCACTTGAGAAAGGGGGATACTCAGGACCATTAGGCTGACATGGGAAGCTCTGGGGGAGAAGAATCTCTCCAAATAAGTTCAGGACAAGCATGTGCTTGCTGCCACCGTGCAGTGCTTTCAGTGATGGAGATGTCATCTACTCAAGCACAGGGCAGTTGGGTGTAACCTGTGCCCGGACTGATGCTGCTGCTCACTACCTGCAGGATCAGGAGGCTGAAAATGCAAAACTTCTTTTTTTTTTTTTTTTTGAGCTTGGAGAAGGGAGTCTGGCCTAATTTTATATTCTTTTGTTCTATTAATTCTCCGAATACCACATGACCTCACCAACAGAATATGCTGAGTTAGGTCTGAAACCAGCCCCAGACGTGCAGGTGAAGAGCTGACCTCGGGGCTAGGCTGAGATCATTTGCCAGTACAGAAAATTCACCTGCCATAGGGCTGGGGGTGCCTGCAGGTGTGAAATGCAGCCTACAGACAGGATTACAGCTTTGAATGCAGCAAACAACACAGCCTAACGCTCTGATTAGCCTGATATATCTGGGAAGGCTTTTAATAAGCCATTTGAGTCAGGATGTTCCAGAGATGTACATATTCAGAGTGCTGTTTTCAGCGGTGCCTTCCACCCAGAGGCATCCTCTGAGCTTGTTCTGCAAGTGAACGAGCTCAGGAGAGACCTTTAATCTTAATGGAAATTGTAGCTAACATCTCTAACCAAATTTAGGCAAAGCAGCACAAGGAGTGCATCCATCCCAACCATAGCACAGGACAGGAGCTGTGTGGCCAGCATGCACACCCCCATAGGGGCAATGTGAGCCGAGGCTCAGTTCTCCTCCATGTTACCCAGGTCTCATTCCGTCCACCCCTCCTCCTTCCCCATCCCTCCTCTTCCCCAGGGCTCCAGCTGCTCTCTGCTTCAGATTGCTTCCTTTATTCATTCAACGAATCCTCCAGCTTCTCCCCCAAATCCCCAGCAAGTA